TCTACCTCTCCCTCTCCCTTTCTGCTTTGGAAATGCTTGAGCAATGACACAATGTTGGAGTTCCTACAGCCATCATGTGGCCGTGAGGGTAGGGGACAAGGGGACAAGGACAATGAAAGACACTGAGAGGTACAGACACAGAGCCCAATCATGGCTGCATTACTGAGTGGACAGTCTAGTTTTAGTGCCTGGCTGTGTGTGTTTTGAGGGGAGGGGATGACTCCTCTTAAAAAGAAAAAAAAAAGCAGTGTAATGGATACCCTGTTGCTAGTGGCTTAAAGCCTTTAATAGAGAATAAGACTTCCCTGCGTTCAATCACGAGCAGAGGGGTGGGGGGATACAGCATATAAGCACTCCTAAGTGCTCCACCTCCAAGACAGGATATTCCTGGTTATTCTTCCAGCTTGTCTTTGTCATCACTGCACCAGGAGGATGCACTTTTGCCCCCCACCAAAGACCTTCCAGCAAAGGAAAACCAGCCCATTGCTCCATTTCTTGCTTTGGTGTAAGGTGGTGGTCAAGAGTGAGAGAGCGCTTGTGACTCACCAGGGACTCCTGGGCAAGTGCTTCCACCTCTCTGTGCCTCAGTTTCCTCTTGTGTCCCAGGGATAACAGTGCCTGACTCACAAGGTTGTTGTGAGACTGACAGTCAAATGCATCTGGCTCTGTGTTGTGGGTGCAAGGGCCACCTCTCCAGTTCTGGGACTCACTAGAACTTGTAGAATTAAGAAAAGTTACCATGGTTGCAGTCAGTAACCATGGCAGCAGAAGGATACAGATTAAAACCAGAAAAGACAAAAGTCAGAGCCCAGGAGAGACCACCCAGCTTCCAGCTGTGCTCTCCCAGGACAGCCACGTGGATGATGCCCAGTTTTCCCAACGAGAATGCATGACAACACGAGCAGAGTTGTGTCAGCCAGGACAGCTCCTCCACGTCCCGGTGTCCAGGATTTAGTGGTGGCTTATCACATAGGCGTGGAGCACCTGGGAGGCTGACCTTAGTTATTCAGTCTGCAGCTTCTCCAGAGGTCACACTGATACAGGGTGACCCGGGTGCCTCCCCATAAATCACAGTGTGAGCCTAAAGTACCCAGTGGGGCAGAGGCCCCAGGGTAACAAAGATACTCCTATCAGGCTGTGTATTGTGAAGGCTTAAAGGGCATCTCTCAGGAGTCCCTGGAATGTGCAGTTTTCAAAGATGTTTTATTCCAGACCTGCTGAGGCAACCCTTCAGGACACAGTCATGTAATAAGCACCCAGTGTTATTTTTGTTTCTTATACAGGGCTGCAGTTTGCCTCCTGCACACACCTATCCTTTGTCACCAGTGCTACCTTATAAAATCAGACAGCTTGGGTCTAGCCCTCCTCTGCATGGCTGTGGGTGAGCGCTGTTTCCCATTCCTCTTTCATGATGGAGGGACCTGCATTCTCCTTCCCTTCCCCTGTACCTCCCCAGAGAAAGAAAAGAACTTGTCAATCAGAGGGTTTGAGAAAGACCAGTGTTCTCCTGCACACGCTTCCTCTCTCCTGAGCCGTCCCTCTGCAGACAGGTCACTCCCCACTTCCACGGCAGCAGCCCTTCAAGAGCCTGCAGTTGTCCACCTCTGCCTGCACCATGCCTGGAGATCATGACAAGTTCTGCCACAAGGTCTCAGCCAACCTGTGCAGCCTATGGGCCCTACACCACAATCCCATGCAGATTTACCATCTGGGAAGGTGATTTTCTGTCTCTACTTGCCTGACTCCTATGCTTATCCCTCAACTGGTTCCAAACATGAAAAGGAAAAGAAAGGGTGATATTTATTAGATCCTCAAATCCCAAAACACAATTAGGACTTGCAGTGTTTGGAAAGTCACAATTAGGTCTCCCCTCAAAACCTATGTCCTCCTGTCCTGCTCCCTTCTCAGGATTTCCTGGCCTGTTCCCGTTCTCTGGATGCACTCCAGGCTGTCTGGGACCCTCTGAACAGGTTGGATCAGAACTAAACCCAGATGACTCCAGAGTGGTCTAGCTGGCTCTAATTTGGAAAGGGGCAGATGGGAACTGAGCTACATCAACAGCCCATTTTTTATTTTTTATACTGAAACAGATTCTCCCTGAGTTGCCCAGGCTGGGCTCAAACTAGTGATCCTCCTGTCTCTGTCTTCCAGAATGCTGGGATTATAGGCATGTGCCACCACACCCTGGTAAATTTCTTGATGTCTTCTCAGAATCCGCACAAATATCACTATTCCTAGGTAAATATATTGCACACTAGGCCTGCATTTGACTCAAATCCTTTTCCACGTGAAGTAAATCACAACTTGTTCTTCGGCACAGGGCAGAGGAAAATTTCATACCTCTTCTGAATGGGCAGTCAAGTTCTATTCCTCAAATAAAATACACACACACACACACAAAAAAAAAACACACACACACTGAAACATCCATCCCCCGTGGAATTTAAAAAAAGAAGGAATCTCCCTCAAAAAAACTAATCCTTTCTCAGAAAGCTCATCTCAACAATTTTACCCACTCTAGAGGTGTTTATCAGATACCCACAAGGCTTTCCAAAATGCAACATGATGGTTAATAGCACAGGCTCTCAAGCTAGCATGCCTAGGTTCAAATCCCAACTATAACATTTGTGTGACCCTGGGCATACTTAGCTTCTCTGAGCCTCAGTTTCCTCAGAATCCTAAGGTGAGCTTTATAATAGCACCTGTCTTCAAAGTGCTATGCACAGTCCCAGTGCACATCACAATTGAGGAATCGAAGGTATTGTATCAGTAGTAACATTGATATCACAAATGTTACCATCAATACCACCTCAGCTAAACCCACTAACGTAGAACCGACCTAAAGCAGGGGTGAATCCCCTGGGTAGAAGACTGATGGATGAATATTATGAAATTCAACTTGGGGGTTCTAGGTGTTCAAATCAGATTAGAGTCCATAAAGGAGGAGGAGGGCGATCAGACAGCATGGAATAGACGTAAGTCCTGTGCTGAAGAGTCAGAGACCCGGCTCTGCTCTGGTATTGGCTCTGGCCTCCAGGCCCCTCACTTTTGCTGCCTAGAAGATAATTCCCCACTACATAGCAGTATTTGGGGACCAGAGAAGGACTATGTGAATCGATACAACAGAAGACTATATGAGAAAATGTAAAAATGGAGTTAAAGTGTTTGAATGTGGGGAGGGAGGAGGGGGTGAAGGGAGGGCAGAGACAAGGGGAAAAAATGAGAACCAAGACCTGGCATGTAAAGGTACAAGATGTAACAGTACTGTCTACCTAGAATGTACCAATAAATTAAATTAAAATTTAAAAAAAACAGAAGACTAATTGGAAATAAAAGGGACAGTGACAGTGAATGAACCCCAAGTCATCCAGTCCCCCAGGGGGACACATCCACGAAAAGCCTGATGTGACCCCAGAGTCAGAGAGCAGGTGGGGGAAGCAGGACAGTGTGTGAGCACCATGACCTGGACTTGAAACATGGTTCTGACGTTCACCAGCCCAGAGATTGTGGGTAGAGGATGTGCCCTCCTGTGGTCAGGGTCCCTCTGTCATGCAAGAAATAGCATTCACCTCTGCAAGTGCCCAGGAGGCAGGTAGGCTGATGTGTGTGCTTGGTCTGAAAGACGGCAGCCACCATGACAATAGAGAGCTCTGGGATGAGAATTCTAAAAAGCACAACAACCTGAGAGCCAGTCTGGAGATTAGGTGGAGAGGAAGCCAAGGCAGGCAAAGGCAGCAAAGAAAAGCAAGAGATGACAGGCCTACATGGAAACAGACAGAGCAGCCAAACAGGCAAGCACAAGAATGACCAAAGTGGGGCCATCTGGGGCCCCTCTAGCCCACCCTTCTCCATAAACCCTACAAGGACAGGTCCCAATGACCGTGCATGGAGTGACAAAACATGAGAGAGTAGAGTCATTACAAGAAAAGTAGGTCTGTTCAAAACAATCCATTTAAGAATGCACAGGGAAAATGCTATACATCCGGGCAATATTATCTTCACAAACAGGAAACAGTTTGAGGTAAAGGTACAGGGTCCGACTTAGCACAGGGGTGCCTTCTTCCTTGATGAGGCTGGATAAATGGAACTTCACCCCCCAAAAAACCATAGTGAAGTCTTTTTGCCTCTTGGCAAGATGTTATTTTGGTAGAAGGAAAGCAACAGAAATGGGGAAGGGAAAGCAAGAGGGCAGGGCTTAGGATTTCTTTCCATTTGAAAATATCTTCCATTTGGTGAGCCCAGGGCTCATTCTGCCTGGCTCTTCCTGGCGGTGCCCAGTGTGTCATGGCCCCGGCTCAGAAGCATGCACTCCAGCCTCCTGCAGTGCTCCCGGAGCTGCTTCTCCCGTGGCAGCAGGAAGGTGAGCACCTTGTTGCGAACGATACCGCGGTCCTCCTCCTCCCTCAGCCGCTGCTTCACACGGGCCGCCTGCTCCTCTTGCTGGGCCAAGGCACCATTCATCTGGCAGAAGGCATCTTCCAGGTAATGGATGGACTTCAGCGCCTCCTGCTTAAAGTCCTCGAGTTCCCGTTGCACACCGGCCACCTTCTGCTGCAAAATCTCCAGGTCGGCCTGAGGTGGGAGGCAAGAAGGCCACGACTGGGAGAGAGAAAAGTCTCCTGAATGGAGGCCACTCTCCACCATCTTCTTCCCCTGTAAGGTATTCACCTTCATGAGAATGGATCCAGCCTGATAGAGGGGCTCCATCCTCTCACTTCCCTGTTGGATCAAGAGAGGGAGGTAAGAGATCACCCAGGTCAGTGAGTTCTTTTGACGAGAGAGGCACAATCTCCGGGAGTGGAAGGACCCAACCCACTGTGACATCGAGGCCCCATCAGCCAACCAGGAGGAGAGCCACGCTCATTTGCATATTATAGCTTCCTTGATCGGTTACCTGAAGATAGTTCTGCTCATCCTTCCAAGTTGTCTCCTGAAACTTGGATTCTCAACTTATCATCCTTCCAGAACCAGAAATCAAGCTCTCCTTCAACCTCCAAGAAAAACCAAGTTCCAGATCAGGGGAAAAACTGGCAAGACAAGTTGGTCCAGACCAGGCTCACAGACTGCAGAGACTTGGTGGTCACCCACCCTGACAAGGGGCCTGGAAGGTCTTGGGATGGTGTCTGGGCTTCAGCTCCTCACCAGTACAAAACAAGGTCACTGTAAGACATGTTGCCTAATCCTACATCTAGCCCTAAAGTGCTAAAAGAGCAATCTGATTCCATCCCCACACCCCTATAATGATGCTAGAATTTAGGTAATCTTTAAGTTGCGAGCAGTGTACTTAATTTTGCTGCATGGTACGTAACAGTGGCTGATTCAGTACATGCAGGGTAAAAATCAGTCTCTCAGGTCTATTCAGTAGATAACTTTCTGAGCACTCACTACATCCTGGGACCAGGGAACAAGTGAAAAAGTATCACATGGCACACACCCCTAGATATTGACCAACATGAGAAGAAAACATACTGAAGGTGCAACTTGCACTTTCTACCCGATGATTTTAACAAAGGAAGGTGTTTCTAACTAATCCATATTTGGGTCAGTTAAGAACAAATCTCCCTCTTGCAGATCAGCAAGGAGGACCTAGGTCTTGGACTTCCCAGATTCCAGAACTGTAAGGCAGTAAATCTGTGTTTTATTATACTTTGCTCAGCCTCTGGTATTTTGTTTTGTCACAGCACAGCAAAACAGGGCAAGGGATCCTAGACCTCTCCATGCCTAAGTGACACCAAGTGCTATTTCATCATCAGACCCAAGCACTCTAGCACCAAGCCACCTGGGCCAGAGTCCCAGGGCCACCACCTATAAATCATGTCTCTTCAACAATTACCTCATCTCCTTAGGCCTTGGTTTCCTTATCTATAAATTAAGGATATTCATTCCGTGGTGTGCAGCTCTCCCGGAAGGGAAAAAAAATCAAGCTCAAATGATCTGTTGCCGATTTCCATGGGGTAAATATTCCCAGCAGCATCACTCTCAAGCTCCCAACTCGATGTCACTGGAAAGAGACGCATGCAATGACTCCCATGAGCCGAGCAGCCGACTCTCACACCACAGAGCTCACACTGAGGGCTGCTGCCTATCTAGCGGGCTCGTGCAGCTATCCGAGAGGGGACTTTGCAGAGAAGTACATGGCTAGACTAAGGTGGATTTGTTTTTTCTTTTGCTTTGTTTTGTTTTTTTGTACCGAGAATTAAACTCGGGTCCTTGCACTTTCGAGGCAGGCAGCAGAACCACTGAGCTAAATCCCCAGCCTATGTTGGAATTTTTATCACAAGGTGCAAAAAGAAATCCCGAGGCAAACTGGAGGGAAGAACATTCGCTGGTCTAGGGAGTCGGGACCTGGAGTCTGGAAGCGCTGCGTGAGCCCAGGGCCCTCTCTGAGGCCGTCTCTCTGCGGACGTGGGATGTGCTTCTCAGCGGCCTTCTCCCTCTGTGTTCCTCGGGACCTTGTTCTTTCATAGCAAATCCCACGAGGATGAGACTGTGTGCTCCCCACCCTGTGTACCCTCGAGGGTCCTGCCTATGGCCCTGCACATAATGGCAGGGAGATAACTAGATGAAATTGAATCTGTTTCCGTAGGGTGCTATCAAATCCCAGGCACCCTTAGCTTTTCCGCTGACACGATGACACCTACTGGTCTGACCGAAAAAGGCATCTTCCTGATCCTCCTGCCTAAGAGCTGAGTCCCGGATTTATGATTTTAAAACAGCTTGGGACCTTGTGGTGGTCGTGTGTGTGTGTGTGTGTGTGTGTGTGTGTGTGTGTGTGGCACATAGCAGGTTCTCAGTAAACATTTCCTGAGTTAATAAAAGGAAGAATGTGCCTCTGTCTTCCAGGCTATCGTTTGAGTGTCTGTTTTTCCTTCCTGTTATTCTTGTGTCTTTCTGATTCTTTGCCTCTTTGTTTCCCATAGGGACTGGTGGAAGTCACAACCCAGAGCTGCGACAGACAAGTAGCAAAAGCCTAGATGGAATAGCAATTTCTCAATTTCCCTGGTGCTTTTTAATGAGGTTTCCGAATGCGTCTTAGAACCAGAGGGAAAACAGTACTGTTGCCCCCCTCCTCTTACCTGCCAGTCCAATTTCCATGATCAGTCACCTACGGCCAACCCCAGTCTGAAAATACTAAATGGAACATTCTAGAAACTAGCGGTGTAGACATTTAAAATTGCACGCCGCTCAGCATATGTGATTAAATATGGTGCCCTCCTGCTTCATCCCACCGGGGTGTCCACACCGCATATAGTGTCCACCTGTTATCCTGCTAGTAGCCATCTCAGCTCTCAGAGTATCGGTCCTGGTGTCACAGTGCTTATTTCCCAGTAACCCTTACCTTATTCAAAGATGGCCCCAAAGCACTACAGCAGCCATGCTGGCCATTTGGACGTGTCTGTTGGCAGAAGGGCCCAGGTTGGGTGACATCCTGAGACTTGCGGGCAATGTCCTCAGCTGGGTGATTTGATATGCATGTTCTGATGTCCACCTGGAAGTGTCACAATATCCCTCCTTATATCCTCGTGTGCAGGAAGGCCAAGCTGTTGGTTCTCTTCAAGATACCAAGAGACAGGAATCTGAATGCCTCCGGGACTTTCAGAAGGCCCCCTGCACCTGCTCTATTCCAGCAGTTCATGACATACCTGGGTCAGGGTAATGGAGGGGACAGGAGAAGTCTGCCAGCCCCACAGAGATCCCAGTTCCACCCCTGAGAGTCAGATCCAACCCAAATGGGATGGGGCTTGAAGAGACAGACTTTAATAGTTTCCTGGATGGGCACTGGGCACCACCTAGGATTGAGGGCCATTCCTGCTGCTCCAGGGCCAGGACTTGAGAGTGGAAATCCCATGGCATCCCTCCCTCCCTGGTGCTTTCTGCTTGTGAAATAAACCTTGGTCTTTTTTAGCCTCTGAAGAGACAGGACACAGATGCACCCCTGTAAAAGTGAGGAGCCCCTCAGAAGTGAAGCTCCTCAAACCCCATTAGTGACAATGGCATCCCCGGCCACTTCCAACCCATCCCTAGCCAGGGTCCCGGAGCTGGCTCAGGTTACCACAGTTCTTGTCCTGGGGGCTGGGTTGGGTAGGGTCCCCAATAACAGAACAAAATCAGGGTTCTGTATTTAAGCAAGAAAGAGGAAGGATGGGCAACTCTGTCTTTGGAGAAGAAGAATACTGTATATTACAAAAGAAGACTCGATGAAACATACACCATCCTGAAGATGAATGGCTTACATCAGATTTCAGTAGAGGGGGGGAAACTGTCTTCCAGGAGCCCTTTAAAACTGATCTATCTCTCCCTTCTCAAAGGGGGCAGAGAGGTGGAGGAGGAGGAGGAGGAGGAGATTGAGGAGGCCAGAAAAAAATCCAGAATTCAGAGAATTCTGTCACAAACCCCAAAGAGTGTGTGACTGGATACTTCTAGAGGAGACAGGACAACTTTTCCCAGAATTTCCTTTTCCTGTGCCTCCCATGGCAGCTCCACTGGCCCGGATGAGGGTGCTGACTATACAACCGGCACCTTCTCAGATGTGCCACAGTCTTCCATTCAGCCTTGTGCCCTCCATCCACCTATTCATCCAGCCCGCTGGTTTCAATCCATGCATTTGAGTACCTACCTTGTGTACACTGAGCTAGGCCATAGGCATTCAAGGGAGTGAACAAGTTAGAGGAGATCCTGCTCTTCGGTAGCTGGCCCTTTAGTGGAAGGGACAGAGGATAGAGTCAGCAGCTGACACACAAGACAACCCATTGGTCCCTGCTGGAAATAAGCAGGGCAAAGTGATAGAAAGCATGCTGAGCTCAGGGAGGAGCTTTGTGAGGTCAGGCATTTGGGGTAAAACAGAGAGAATAAAGAGAGCTGGAGATAATGTTTAAGAAGGAATTGTGTGCCCAGGCCCAGTGGTTCAGGCTTACGATATAATCCCAGCTACTCAAGAGGCTGAGGCAAGAGAATCATAGTACGAGGCCAGTGTGGGCCACTTAGTAAGACCTTATCTCAAAAGAAAAATTGAAAAGAGTTGGGGATGTAGCTCACTGTAGAGTACCCTGGATTTGATCCCTAGTACTGAACAAGAAAGGAAGGAGGGAAAGAAGAAAGGAAAGAAAAAAAAGAGGGGAAAGAGAAAGAAGAAGGAACCATAGTGGGAAGGCCTCGGGCAGGAAGGGCAGAGGGAACAGAGTGGACCCACGGCTCAGGCCCCACCAAGCAAGAGAAGGAAGTGAGGATGGAGCGCAGGGCTGGCAGGCTGAGGTGGGGGACAGCCGTGTGCAATTCCCACCTCTGCAGCTTCATTCCAGTCTAGGAAATGGGGACAAGCCTGGGATGCGGGCTTGGGGACCAGGTCCAAGAACAAAACTCAGTGCTGTTCACCATGATTAATTAACCCAGTGCCAGAGCCCCAAGGCGCAGTGCTAAAAATACCTGCTTCCCTCTGAGATGCGGCAGCTGCCACCCAGCAACTTTTAGCGGCGCCATTTGTCATAATTTGATGCTGCTAAGGAGTGTCCACAGGGCCATGTGTCTGCAAGAATCGGTCTCATCCGCAGCCCACCCGCCAGCTGGTCCTCAGAGCCCACCCTTGGCGCCTTCCTACCTCAGCCCCGCCTTAGCTGCCACCAGCTGCCTCCAACAAGTCCAGGTTTTCTCCTGGAACAGAATCAGCCCTACCTCCAGAGGTGGGAGCCAAAGCACCTTCTAGAGCAGCAGTGCACCCTCGGATGCCTTGTTTCACATCACTGCAGCCCTGCAATCCGGACTGCAGCCATCAATGGAGGCCTTGCCAGCCCAGGGTGGCGCTTTAATTAAAATATGTAAAACATGCTGGTGGGAGCTGGCGCCAAAGACAAGGGGCCCGCCTTGGACAGGACCAGTGCAGGGCAACCCCGACTCGGAGCTGGCCCTTCTCCAGCACCATCCACCTACTCCAGGGGCAAGAAACAGCCGGCTGAAAACATCTGCCACACCAAGTCAGTCCGCACAGGGGCCAAACATGCTGGGAAAGACTTGGAGCAGCTTCATCACCAGTGTTAGGGTTGGGGTGCTGCCCTCTCCTCTGAGCACTGATTTTCTTAAACAACCCACGGGGAAGCTGATGCCTGGACATTGATGCAAGCTCTAGCAAATCATCCATTTCCCAGACTGAGCAGCTCCCCACTGCAGGGTCCTTCAGGTTTTGTTTCTTTGTTTCAAGGAAGAGGGGTAGAAGCTGGATTGTTTAGGGCAGAGACAAGCAAGATGTTTGGTTTTGTTTTGTTTTGTTTTTTGCATATAGCATATGCAAACTCGGGAAAAAAAATCGAGGCCAAAATTTTCAATCGGGCTTTTTAAAAAAACATCAGGGAATGTGATATTTGCAAATTGTGTGAAACATCCTTTAAATTCATTTCCCCCACCACAGAAGGAATTCAGGATTCTTACGGAAATGTCAGGATCTGCAGATGTATCGTGTGCTGTGATCTGCCTCAGAGGTCAGGCCTGCAGCACAATCTCCATGGGATGACTGGGGGGAGCTTTGAGCAATTTGCGGGGCTGGGGAGACAAACCGGACACTGAGCCCAGCCAGAAACCGGGGACAGGAAAGCCCCATTAGGAGTCCCAGGTCTGGAGGAGAAAGGGAAAGGGCCCTGGGGAAGGACGGACGGGGCTGCAGGAGGAGACGCCATTTCTCCTCCCCACTCCCAGCCCCCACCCCAGAAGAATGAGGCGAGGGACGGGGTGTCCACCGGCTCCAAAGCAACCCCTCCTGAAGACCGCTGCACCCCTCGGGTGAGAGCCAGTGCTATGTCTGCGTGTCGGGGTGTCAGGCAGAATTATTTGAGCTTAAAAATCCAAATCCCCTCCTTCCTGGGTTACTTAACTGTCTGCCTGGCAAGGCAGGAGATTACTGGTGACAGATCCAGGGCCCGCTGGCCGCTCCAGACAGAGGAGCTTTGATCACCTGGAAAACTCCAGACACCAGGACTCCTAAGGATGAGTAATGAGCGCAAACGTCGGGAAGTTACCCAGCTCCGTGTGGCAGACACACCCTGCTCCCACGGAAGCCTGTGGAGCTTGGCCAGAGAGATGGGATGCAGTTGTCTAAGTGTCCCTCGGGAGGGCTTGACCCCAACTCCGAGCCCTGCTCAGCCCCACCCAGAGTCCTGCCTGCTCACTGATGAGGCGGAGAGGTTTCTAGTTTCCAGCGGTGTCTCTTACGGGGGTTGCTTAGCGGCCAGAATTTATATCTTTCAAGAGTACAGCCTCCACACTAATTCATTCATTCACTCAACACACATTTACCAGATGACTAAAACAGGCCAGGCACGGCCCTGGATGCGCAGGAGAAAAGACAGCTCCAATGGGCCTTTGATCCGAGAGGGATTTGCCATCTACCACGGAGACAGCATCACAAAGCTGTGGGATAAAAGCAGGCAGCGGGGCATTGAGACTCAGTAGGAGGGGACTCTGGACTGCTCTGTCCCTCGTGGCAGCAAAGAAGATGGAAGATCCCCAGGCTTGGGTTTCTGTCTGACCGTCAGAGTCCCCAGTCGAGCTGTACCTGTAGCACCTCCTTATGACCTCCTTCTGGGGTTTCCACCTACTGCGATGTTAGTTTGGGACTCAGTCAACCTTGAGTCCCCCTTCTTCCCATTTCCTTGTTCGTGGAAACAAACCCATAAGTTCTCGAGCTTGGGGATACATTCAGATCAACTGGGGAGTAAGTTTGACCATTTAAAAGATCTAGATCTCAGCCCCCAAGAGATTCTAATTCAGGTCTTAGGAGGATGGAGTTAGGGTGATCGACCATCTTGAGTGGCTCAGAACTGAGAGGGTTCCAGGATGTGAAACTGGGATAGTCCCAGGAAAATCGGGACAAGTTGGTCACTCTAACTTTAGCACTGTTAGTCCCTGCCCAGTGACACTCCTTTCTCTCTGGAGTCACAGAATCCCACCTTTAACCAGACAATAGCATGCTCACGCAAGGTGAGTGACTGGCCCAGCCCTGGGTGGTGAGTAGGGGTCATTCAGTAACTTTATTCCCTGTTGTTGTTGGATTACTTACTATGGACCTGTGCCCCACTACTAACCAATGAGTTGTAAAGGAAGTACTTATAGGAAGAACATCACACCTGAAGGAAAGAAGTGAGGCAAAAAAAGAGATGCCTGCCCTGTCTTCTGCCTTGGACAGAGTTGTGTGAGAACATGAGGGTTGGAACTGTTGCAGCCATTCTGCAATCAAGAAGCAAAAAACTGAAGGATAAAAATTCAGCTGTGCTAAGGATGAATGATTAGAATAACATGTTCATATCACTGAGGTCCTTTATCAACTGAAATTACCTTATCTCCAGTCTAATTGTTATGTGAGTGAATATTTGTCTTGCTCAAACAACGGTTATCTAGTACTCTGTTAATTATATCCCAAAACACTGTGTTAAAAACAAGGACCTAAAAAAATCATTTCTAAACATGATCCGTCAAATCATTCTGATGCCTTCTTCTAATCAGCTAATCCACTGATTCCCAAAAGGTAGTCCAGAAACCCCAGCATCACCTGGGAACCTGTTAGAAATGCACGTTCTCAAGCCCCCTCAGACCTTCTGAATCAGAAACTCTGAGAGCTTGGGTTCTGAAGCCTTGTGTCGTAGCAAGCCTTCCAGATGATTCTGACCATTGCTAAAGTTTAAGAAGCCTTCAGCCAATCAACGCTGGAGACTCTGGATAATACCAGACCCCTAAAATTTCTGATGGGACTTTTAGACTTAACCCAGACCACAGCTGCTTCTTATTGTCTGAAAAATAAAGCAGCATGTCTTCTCACCTTCTGCCTTTTTCCTCCTTTCTGCCCTGGGTTCAATTTCTAGCACTAAGAAAACAAAAAGAAATGAAACATTGCTTCCTCCGTCCTCCCTAGAGCTCCCACAGGCAGTCTCCCTTGAGCTGGACGTTTGGGCCACATGGTGAAGGAGGGGAGGGGGAGAGCTCTTTGTACTGGGCGAACATGGCCAAGTCAGCGGTGAGGAAAGGAGAAAGGATGTTCGGTGCCTCTGGGAAGTAGCCCTGGGTGTTTTCAGCCCCACAAAGGCCCACTCGGATGTCATCTCATCACGCAGCAGCCGGGCAGGGAAGGGAAGAGAAGAGGCAGCCCAGGCAACTCTGCCTTCTCCCTGCCCTAGGGAGCTCTACCCTGGCTGGCTTTTTATACTCTAGATGACCCTATCTCTCAACACAATTAATTAATCCAAGCTCCAGTAAGAGACCAAAGGTAGCCCAGCATGGTGACATGTGCCTGAGATACCAGCTACTCAGGAGGCTGAGGCAGGAAGATTACAAGTCCAAGGCCAGCCTGGGTGACTTACTGAGATCCTGTCTCGAGAAAATAAAAAAGCTGGGAATGTGGCTCAATGGTAGAGCATTTCTGGGTCCCTGGGTTCACTCCCTAGTCACACACAATCTAAAGGCAGAAACTGAACAAGAGACTTCATGTTATGAGGCTCATCCATTCTCAGCTATATAAGAAACGATAAACTCCCTCACTACATCTCTTCTTTGGAATTTTTTCCTCTCCTCCCCATTCCCCTCCCCTTCCCACCCTTCTTTCTGCTTCTCTTCCTCCCCTTCTTCCTCCTTTATCTTCTTTTCTGTACTAGAAATCAAACTAGGGCCTTTGCACTGTGACACATCTGCAGCCCTTTTTTAAATTTTTCAGCACAAATTC